GGTTCTAAAGACTGGTCAGGCAGGACCCAGGCCACTCCTGGCCTCCTGAGGGTGAGCTGGGAAGCTGCCCTCTCATGTCTCCTGTGACGGCTTTGTTCAGAGATGGTGAAGGCTAAAAAGAAAAGTGCCTATGCCCGTGTCCACTGCAGCTTGCAGCAGATGTGCAGGGCCCTGCCAGACCAGGGAGCCAGTGACCATGGGCTGCCCCTTTGCAGGCTGCTGTCCTCACTGGTGCAGGAAAAAAAGAAAATTGCATTTGCATCCACTTGAAAGACTCAGAGGGATCTTCTGTCTGCTCATTGAGTCCTCAAATGCCACAGCAGCCAGGGCTGGGCCAGGCACCCTGTCTGAGACTGTGCTCTGGGCCCACACACGGGTCCTCATGTGTTGCCTCTAGGGACACATTAGTACGAAATTGGATTGGAAGTGGAGCAGCCAGGACTAGAACCAGTGCTCAGATGTGCTGTGTGCTTGCTGCGCCTCAGGAATGCACTGCTTGGGGCTAGCGCCCTGCCATAATGAGCAAAACTGCCACCCACAGCGCTGACACCCCACCTGGACATCTGGTGGGAAACCAGTGGCGGATGGGCCAGATGGCCAGGTGGCCAGGTCCTTGCACTCACACGGGAGACATGGCTAACCCCTCAGGCTTCCGCCTGGCCCAGCCATGGCCGTTGGGGACATTCGGAGGAGTGAAGCAGTGAATGGAAGATCTGTAACTTTCAAATAAAGTAAATCTTTAGACTTCGCCTAAAATACATGCAGCGCTTGTGTCTTTTGGCTCATTCCTCCAGGCCCACAGTGGCAGGAGTGACACTCAGTACCACTTCTCTGTAGGTGACAGGGACTCACTGCTGGGGCATCAAGGGGACTTGCTAGCAGGAAGCCAAGACTGCAGGAGGAGCCCTCTAGTGTGGAGTTCATTGGCCAGTGACTCCACAGAAATGCCCGTTTGGGGCAAGACTGCGGTGCTGCCACAGAAGAGCAGCCCACGTCTGTACCATCATGGTTGTCACTGTTCAGAAACATGTAGCTGGTCCCAGGGCTGGGCGCGGGAACTAGTGACAGAACTGGGGCTACAGGCACGTGGGAGCACCAGGTGGCAGGTTCTGCCGCCTCACCTGGCTTGTCCTGGGCCTCTGCGGTGGTTCAGACAGGTGGCACTGAGGCCCTGAACAGAATGCGACCGCTGTAGAGGGAGGACAGCCCTGGCCTCTGATGCCTGCAGGCAAGCGGCATTGTCCTTGCCTTTTCTCCACAGAGTCCCACTGCCAGCAGGACACCCCCTCCCCGACCACAGCGCCGCCAGCACCACCCAGCACGTCAAGCCCCTCGCCGCCTCCCAAGCCCGAGAGCCCCTCGGTCTCCAGGTACAACGTGAGCAGTAACAACGAGACTTGCCTGCTGGCGAGCATGGGGCTGCAGCTGAACGTCACTTACGTGCTCAGAGACAACACGGTAGGAATACAGCTGCTGGTGTGGGGAGAGGGTTCCAGCCTGCTCTGGCTGTCCTCTATGACATAGTGTGCCTTGTGGGACAGTCAGGCTGCACATATGTGGTGATCAGGCCTCCTCACTGCCGTCCCTCACACACGTGGTGGACATCCCTCCTCACCGCCATCCTTCACACACATGTGGTGGACAGCCCTCACACCGCCATCCTTCACACACACGGTGGACAGCCCTCACACCGCCATCCTTCACACACACGTGGTGGACATCCCTCACACCGCCATCCTTCACACACACGGTGGACAGCCCTCACACCGCCGTCCCTCACACACACGGTGGACAGCCCTCACACCGCCGTCCCTCACATACACAGTGGACAGCCCTCACACCGCCGTCCGTCACACACACGTGGTGGTCAGGCCTCCTCACTGCCATCCTTCACACACATGTGGTGGACAGCCCTCACACCGCCGACCTTCACACACACGTGGTGGACAGCCCTCACACCGCCATCCTTCACACACACGTGGTGGACAGCCCTCCTCACCGCCGTCCGTCACACACACGTGGTGGTCAGGCCTCCTCACTGCCATCCTTCACACACATGTGGTGGACAGCCCTCACACCGCCGTCCTTTACACACGTGGTGGACAGCCCTCACACCGCCGTCCGTCACACACACGTGGTGGTCAGGCCTCCTCACTGCCATCCTTCACACACATATGATGGACAGCCCTCACACCGCCATCCTTCACACACACGGTGGACAGCCCTCACACCGCCGTCCCTCACATACACAGTGGACAGCCCTCACACCGCCGTCCGTCACACACACGTGGTGGTCAGGCCTCCTCACTGCCATCCTTCACACACATGTGGTGGACAGCCCTCACACCGCCGTCCTTTACACACACGTGGTGGACATCCCTCACACCGCCGTCCTTTACACACACGGTGGACAGCCCTCACACCGCCGTCCCTCACACACACATGGTGGTCAGGCCTCCTCACTGCCGTCCCTCACACATGTGGACAGCCCTCACACCGCCGTCCCTCACACACATGCCGGTCACTGTCCTCCCCTTGGTGGCAACAGTGAGGCCTGGGGAGCCTGATGGACAAGGGCATGGAGTCTTCCAGGCGGCAACCTTACCCTGCAGGTGGCAGAGGTGGCAGAAAGTGCTTTCAGCATCTGAAATGTGTGCCCAAACTTGCGACTTGTATGCCTTCTCTGAGCAGGGGGGTAGGTGGTAGCTTGGCTGTCTCCTCCTGCAGACTGTGACCAGAGCGTTCAACATCGACCCCAGCAAGACCACGTTCAGCGGGTTGTGCGAGGCGCAGCTGGTGACCCTGGAGCTGCACAGTTCTGAAATGAACACTGTGCTGACCTTGCAGTTCGGGACGGTGAGGCCTGGCAGTCATGTCCTGTTGAGGCGGACAGGGTCCTGGGTGTCCAGCATGCTGCAGAGATGGCCACCTGGGGGCTGGGCCCTGCGTGTCCAGCATGTCATCGGTTGTCTCCTTTCCAGAATGCAAGTGCCAGCCAGTACTTCCTGCAAGGAGTCAAGCTGAATACAACTCTTCCAGATGCCAGAGGTAAGACCCTAGCCCCCTCCCCTGCCCCGGGCACGTGGCCTGGGCTAACGGGCTGTGTCGCGCCTCGCAGAGCCCGCCTTTGCAGCCACCAACAACTCGCTGAGGGCACTACAGGCCACACTGGGGAACTCGTACAAGTGCAACTCGGAGGAGCACGTCCGTGTCACGCCCGCCTTTTCCCTCAGCATTTTCAGGGTGTGGGTCCAGGCCTTCAGGGTCAAGGACAACAAATTCGGGTCTGGTGAGTGCTCAGGGTTGGGGGCGGGCCGCTGGGTGGGCCCCGGACAGGGCTGGGGCTGACAGCCGTGTGCCTGCAGTGGAGGAGTGCCTGCTGGACCAGGACAGCATGCTGATCCCCATCGCCGTGGGCGGCGCACTGGCCGGCCTGGTGCTCATCGTGCTCATCGCCTACCTCATCGGCAGGAAGCGCAGCCACGCTGGCTACCAGACCATCTAGAGGCGCTGCTGGCCCTGCGCCTGCCCTGGGCGCCAGTGGGCGGGGGAGGGCACTCTGGAGCAAACTGCTGGCGTTGCTTTGTCTGTGTGAATGCCCCGCTTGCAGCACCACCCGTGGAGGGCCAGCACAGGGTCTGCTAGTTGGTCAGTGTTCCTACTTACCAAAGGAGAGCTGGGGCAGAGGCCCTCCTGCCTGGCTCCGGTCCCACTCCTGCTTGGCTGTTCTGAGAGTCTGGTGTTTGGTTTCTTCTTCACTCAGATGCAAGCCTTACAAAGGGAAAATGGCCTCCGGCCTGACCCGCCCCAAGGGAGGCTGCCCGCGTGTGACCTTCGGGGCAAGCCAGGTGGGCAGGCAGGGCTACCCTGGCCAGGAGTGGCACTGCTGGGCTGTGCATCTGTCGAGGGGTTTGGGGCTTGGGTGGAACGTTGGGCATCCCTGTTCCTGCCTGCACTGGTGGCAGTAGCTGCCCGTGGCAGTGCTGCCTGCAACAGAGCTAATAAAAGGCCTCTTGCCCAGTGAGAACCTGTGTGTGTCCAAGGGGCATGTCGTGGGGTCAGAGCTGAGGGGACCATCAGGGTACATGCTCCCTCATGGCTCTGCCTATGGGGACCTCGGCTGGTGTCCTACGATGCACGACTGCTCTGGGGCCATACTCAGGAAACACCGCCCCCACCTCCCCCCGAGCTAGGACCCACATGCACCCTGCATGGTTGCCTGGGCCTTAACAAGCTGTCAGGCCTGGCCAAGCCTGAACCAGCCCACCCCACAGCACAGGTGGGTGTGGCCGAGGAAGGTCACTGTGGTGACCAAGGGACTTGTTCCACAGCGCCACAGTCCTACAGCCTGGACACTGGAGTGAGTCCTCAGTATGTCCCCAGGGTTGCTGGGCCAGCGCTAGCCAGGAGCAGTGCTGACCAGTGGGCAAGGGCTGTGCAGCTCCATGCCCTTACCCTTGGGTTCCACATAAGGTCGAATGGCCTGAGAGCCAGACATGCTATGAAGCATGGTAGTTAAGGCCCCCCTTCCTTGGCTCAGTCAGGCCCAGGCCCCGAGACCACTCATAACTGCCATCTGTGCTTGTCACCCACAGTTCACCAGGTGAAGGGACAATGAGGGGAGTACAAGGGACTGGAAGGGACACCTTATATCTTCTTCACTTCCCAGGCGTCCCCAAAGGCCAGGTCTGGGCCAGGCCAGAGCAGGAGCCCCATCTGGGTCTCCCACATGGGTGCAACCCTGGCCCGCAGACAGCTGGGTGACACAGGCAGAGGCACTGATGGCCTTTAATGAGTGCCCCTTACTTTATTCTCCTGTAAAAACACTTTGCAGATCTGACTTCATAGCTGACAGCCAAAGGTCATGGAAAGACATTCCATGTCACTTTGTAAGGAAGTCTACACCTGGGCCCAGTGAGGCCACGTCAGTGTGACCAGCACCTGGCCTTGGTGACAGCATTCAGTCCTGGCCGGGTACAGAGCCTTGGTCGTCAGTGGGCTCAGCCCTGTGCCAGCAGCGTGGCTCTGCACGTCTCCCGGAGCTTGGTGATGGTTGCCATGGGCAAGCTGCCCGGCTCGGAGAACACCTTCTGGAACACAAAGGGGAACCCATCAGGGCCCACAGCCTCCCTGTGCGTGAGGGACCCATGACACCACCCCACACACCTGCATAAAGGTGTGGCACTCGGTCACAAAGGGGCCACGTGTCATCTGCTGGAACTTGTCACACACGTCGGGCGCACTGGCCGCCTGCAGAATCAGTGTCTGGTGCTGTTTGATGAGTGTCAGGGCTACGCGGAAGAGGACCTTGGAGCCCTCGTTGAAAAGGCAGTCCCAGACACGCAGCACGGTCTGCGGGGGGACACGGCAGTGAGGCAGGGCCAGACTTAGCCTGTGGGGACACGGCCAGTTGGGCCATGGTGGGCCCATGCTCACCTCCACGGGCAGGACGTCCACAAAGAGACAGATGAACCAGCGGGATGCCACCAGCGTCCACAACACTCCGTGCCCATCCAGCAGGGCGGCCACGGCTGGCAGCTTCCTCCGGACCAGCTCTGCCAGCACCTGCTGGTCAGTCTGGAGGCCCAGCATCTGGGGGCCGTAGTAATCTGGGCAGGGAGGAAGGAGGGTCAGCCCCTGTGGCTCCAAGGACAAGAAGGCTGCAGCCACCAGTGGGGCCACCCAGCACCTGTGCCCAGGCGGGAGACACCCCCACAAGGCTGCAGGTGCCTGCTTGGTGTTTGGTCCCGCCCCCTGCCCGGGGAGCTGGTATGGGGCTCTCGGCTTTGGCCTGGCCCAGCTCTGGCTGTTGCTGCCATTTAGGGAATGAGCCAGCAGATAGATCTCTTCCTGTCAAAATGAAAAAGCATCCGTGCTCAGTGTTGTCCCAACAGCCATAGGTACTGCCCGGGGGAGGAGCTGGAGGACCAAGTTGGTCCCCAGGCCAGGGGCCCGGAGGGGGAGGGGATGCAGCCGGGAAGCTGTGGGTTATGAGACTGACCACACAGAGCTGTCAGGACACATGCGCCAACTGACTTTGCTGTCCACTGCTCTGCCTGTCTTGGCAAGGAGCTCAGGGGCTGACTGCCCAGCGGCTAATGCAACGTGAGAAGCAGTGACAGGCAGGGGACAGCAGCCACAGAGGGGGCCCAGCCAAGTGTGCGCCATGCTAACATTCCTGGGAGCCATGCCTTCCAAGCCCTCCTCTATCTGTCCTGCCCCAGCTAGGGGCATAGAACGGGTGGTCATCATTGACCCCAAGCCCACACATGCGCAGCAGAGGTGGCCGGGAATCCCGCCGAGCCACAGCCTGACCTTGGCCCAGTCAGAGGTTTAGAGCAGCTTCCAAAAATAAAGGCTGGAGCCCAGCAAAACTACCAGTCACCAGGATCACATTAAGACTGGGCAGCTTCCTGCTGTGCCCCTCAGGGCCACCCAGGCCAGGCACAGAACAGCACCTTGGGCTCCTGGGCAGGGCTACCTAGCAGCTGCCTCAGGGCCCCAGAAAGTGGCCCCCACCTGTCCTAATCACCCCACCTCAGGACATGGGATCCAGTCAACACATAGCTAACCAGACAGTAGAAATGTCTGCACACAGGGCTGTCAGCACATGGCTGAGGCACACAGTAGGGCTGTGAGCACATGGCTGAGGCAAATAGTAGGGCTGTTAGCACATGGCTGAGGCGCACACTAGGGCTGTGAGCACATGGCTGAGGCACATAGTAGGGCTGTCAGCACATGGCTGAGGCACACAGTAGGGCTGTTAGCACATGGCCGAGGCGCACAGTAGGGCTATCAGCACATGGCTAAGGCACGTACTAGGGCTGTCAGCACACGGGAGGCACACTGTAAGGTTGTCATACCAGGCAGTATTCTTCCAACCAGCGCATCCAGCAGCCAGAAGGATTCTTCCTCGTTCTTGGTGATGAGAATCAGGTACCCCGCAATGAAGTTCATGCCCTGAGGTGGGAAACCTGCTTGAGCCCCAGGACTCGGCCCCCTTCTTCCACTCTTCCCTGTGCTCGCCACTAGGGGACCCTCGAGGGCAACTGTGGACGGGCGTCCAGCTGAGTCGGGTCCACCATCAATGGGGGACTGCACCCTGTGTTAACCTTGGCTGAGACCCAGGCCCCCACCCTGACAGAACCCAAGCCTGGGCTGGGACTCGGGGCTTACCTGGCAGTACCCCACCCCTGGGTTGTGCGCTCCATATGCCCGCAGCACGTGGTACAGGCTCTGCTGCAGGCAGGGCTCTGCTGTCTTCCGAAATCTCACATTGTCTGGGAAGGTCCGATTCAGATCTGCACAGATGCACAGAGACCCCTGGAAAAATGACCCTCAGGACCCCCATTTGGGCACCCCAGGGGCTGCGGGTGCTGGCTGCACATCTCTGAGAAAGGTTTGGCTGCTGCACCTGCCTAGTGCACATGCAGGCCGCCAGCACAGACTGGGGAGCCAGGTGCTGGGCGCCCTGGGTTCCCCAGGCTGCTCCTTAGGACCTGAGACAGCAGAGCTGCAGCCACTGCCCCACCCTCACCAGCCTGTGTGCTCAAATACGGGGCCAGGGGCACCCTGGGCCAGCCAGAGGCTCAGAACGCCCACATCCATACTGGGTCCGGCGGGAATCAAGGAAGACTGCAGGTGAGGATTCAAGTACCCAGATGGAACTCCTGGCTCTGGGCTTCCAAGTGGGCCACACCCTGGCCATTGCGGCCCTTGGGGAATGAACCAGCAAAGGGAAGAACAGAATGTATAGCATAGCGGCTAAAGTCCTCGCCTTGAACACGCTGGGATCCCATACGGGCAGGACACCAGTTCTAATCCCAGAAGCTCCACTTCCCATTCAGCTCCCTTCCTGTGGCCTGGGACAGCAGTTGAAGATGGCCCAAAGCCTTGGGACCCTGCATCCACGTGGGAGACCTGGAGGCGGTTCCTGGCTCTTAGCTTTGGATCGGCGCAGCACCAGCCGTTGTTGTCACTTGGGAAGTGAATCATCGGATGGAAGATCTTTCTCTCTGTCTCTCCTCTCTGTATATTTGACTTTCCAATAAAAATAAAATAAATCTTAACAAGAAAGAATGTAAGGGACTCGTGCTGAGGGACAAAGGCAGCTGAGTCTCCTCTGGGAAGCCCACACGGATCCCTGTGGTTAGAGCTCCCCACTGCTGGCCCGTGCCCAGTTCCCAGCAGCCACTGCACAAAGCCGCCCAGGCTCCCCTGTAGCCACACGCTGACTGCCACACTAAACACAGTGACCACAGCAACCACAAAGACCACAGGATCAGACATAGGCCACAGGGACACCCATGTGGCCACGGCATCCACAGCACACAGAATCAAACAGGGACTATAGGGGTGCCCATGTGGCCACGGCATCCACACAAGGCCAACAAACAGGTCCCAGGCCTTGAACTGGAGTTGGCCTTTGTCAAGGGTGCAGGAGCACTTGCCCAAAGGCCTCAGGGGTCGGGGGCTCAGCCATCCTCATGACCGCCACATGGGAAGCCCAGGACGCTGCGAGCAGGGAGCTCACTGCAGTCCCCACGAGGGTCCTGGTCCCTTCACTGCACTGTCACACGTGGATGCACACACATTCAGGGCAAAGTTCACCCAGGGGTATCTCTGTCACTGTGCCTACAGCAGCCCCCCAAGCCTGAGGCAGCCCTGGCACTGTACCCACCTGTCCTGATGGCCTCCTCCAGCTCTGGACTCCCGGCTCCCTGCAGGAGGCTCTGGTAGTAGCCAGGGTTCTGGTCCATCTGGGCCTGGGCTCCGCTCACGGCCATCCAGACATGGGCACGGTGCTGCAGAGGGACCCCCTTCCTGACGTAGCGCTTCACTGCAGACAGGAGGCATGTATGGGGCCCGGTGGGGAGAGGCGGGCCCTGGCTCCACAGACACAGGGATGCACGGGCACACTGAAGGACAACTGATTGGCTGTCATTTGCATGAGAACAACGGATTGGATATAATTTGAATGAGGACACTTGATTGGATATACAAAACAAAAAGATACTTTCAGACAAGGACGTGAAAACAATGGATGGGTTCCGTAGACAGGCTTATGGGAGCTGTTCAAGCTCCTCCAAGCCTCCTCCCTTGTATGTGACCCTCAGTCTGTAAAAGCCTGGTGCCACGAACAAGCTTGAGTTACTGACCATCAGTCGGTAGTCCACGTGTAGTCTTGGTGCCAAAGTCCATCGCTAAAGGACAGCGAACAGCACATGGACACATACACATTTCACAGAACTGAAAGGCCTGTACACCCTAACTGGTGCACTCCCTACATTCTCTACCGTCTTGCCAGAACCTAGAACAGCCAGTTAGCACCCAGCTCTCCAAGAACCTAGCACGGCTGAGAAGCACCCAGCCATCCAGATCAGCACTGGTGGGGTAGACCAATGGTAGGCCAAGGGTAAAAGGCCAACAACTGGCCAAAAGCAACGTGACTGCCACAAACTCAGACTGTTGCTGAGCCAAGGGGCCACATCCAGGGTCCAATGTCCCACAGCGGTGCCGGGCAGGCACTGGCGGCCAGTACTGACAGCCTGTATCCCACGTTCGTATGCTCACCGTGTCCTCACTGCCCCCGGCCCCTCTTCACACTGGAGTGCCCGGGCAGCCTCAGGCAACAGCCCACGTGCTTGGATGCTTCCCGTCCATGTGGGAGGCACAGCTGGAGGACCAGGCTCCAGGCTACTGGCTGTTGGAGGCAATGTGGAGTGCACCAGCAGGTGGAAGCTTCCTTCTCCCATATGACATGCCCTCTTCCACTCTGCCTTTGGGATACATAAGTAACTCTTTGTAAAAGGCTTAGTGTTGAGGGACCCAGTGCAGTAGCCTACTGGCTAAAGTCCTTTCCTTGCATGAGCAGAGATCCTATATGGGCACCAGTTCGTGTCCCAGTGGCTCTGCTTCCCATCCAGCTCCCTGCTTGTGGCCTGGGACAGCAGTCGAGGGTGGTCCAAAGCCTTGGGACCCTGTACCCGTGTTGGGGCAAAGTCCAGGCGGCATCTCAGTCTAAGCCATGGGACATAACACAGGTTTGCTGGGAGCAGGTGAACCCCGTGGCTGCTCAGGATACACTTGGGGTGCACATGGAACACAGACTTCAGGGTCTGGAAGGAAGGCGAGGATGGAGCCGCAGAGAGCCCCCAGGCCCGCCCAGGTTCAGTAAAGCCAGAGGGGCAGGAGGAGGCGCTGCACCCTGTAGGGACCCAGCCACACAACAGTCCACCAGTGGTCCTCCCGGCCACATGGGCATTCCTGGGGTCAGCTGAGGACCACCCTAACCCCTCACTGTCTGCTGTCCGGGGCCCAGGGAGCGATGGACTCGGTGGAGCCCCTGCCCTTCCAGGTTGCACGGAGAAGGCCTGGCCGCCCCGTTCCCCGCCAGCCCCTCCTGTCCCGGCCAGGTGCGCCCTGCAGCAGGCAAGGGCCAGGTCCTTGCGGACCTTGCAGGGAGGTGTGGCCGCAGCCACGTCCCGAGCAGGTCTGCAGACAGACAACACCCTCGGCGTGGCCCGGAGTCCCGCACCCTGCTCGGGAGGCGCTGGCGGGAACCCTGGACTTCGCCCTTCGGCTCCCCGGGCTGGGCGGGTGGGGCGCTTACCTGTGCCGCTCCTTCGAACCGCGCGACCGCCCCGCAGCAGCCGAGACCACTTGGCCGCTCTCCTTGCGAGAACCACGAGGTAGGAGGCGGAGAACTGCTCGTAGGCGGCGTAGTCAAAGTCCTCGGGCCGCTCGAACCCGTACGCGTCCACCCTGGCAGAAGAGCACGCGGCTAATACCGACCACGCCCGCGCACCTGAACCTCGCACACCTGCGCCGCGGCACCGGCGTGCAGGGGCTGAGCCAGGGATCCCACGCAGGCGGGGAGTGCATGGATCCCTGTGTCCCTGCCCTCGCGACCCACCTGGGAACTGGGTCCCGCACGTCCTGCTGGCATCTGCTCGGTTCCATCGAGAGCGGCGCTGGTTCTCCGGCCGGGGAGAGGAGTCCCAAACACGCGCGCCGGGCCAGGACGTGTCCTTCCGGCGGGGCGGGGCGGGGGCGGAGCCAGCGGCCGGCTCGGCCAGGGGTGGGGGCCTCGGGAGGGACGGGTCACCACCTGGCGTGGAGGGGGGCGCGACTCCAGGGTCCCCCTGAGCCGGCCGGGCGCGGCCAGCGCGGCGGGGCGGTGCCGGAGCCGGTGGCACCTGCTTTGGGGCGGCTGTGGTCACAGCTCCTGCGCTCCTGGCTCCGGCTCCCGTTTCTCTGCAGGAAACGGCCGGCTGCAGCTCCCGGGCTCCCGCGGCTCAGGCCCAGGTCGCTGCGCCCACGGCTGGGACGGACGCGGGTCCCGGGCGCGCGGGCGCGACGGAGAGGGGCCGGGACTGCGGCGGGCGAGCCGCGCTGAGGTTAAAGGGGCGCGGGTCGGACCAGCAGGCTCTCGGCGTCAGCTAGACGGTGCGGATCTGGCCGCCCGTGGGAATCAGCACGGGGGCTTTTCTGAAACACTCCAACAGCGGGCTGATGGGGAAGCCCAGGCCGTGTCCGCGACCCTCCAGAGTGTGCGCCCCTGGATCGGGATCCGGCTGAGTCTGCCGCCTGGGCAGGAAGGGCCAGCACCTTTGCGTACACTGCAGCTGCTTGCTGTGCCCCGGCACTGTCCTACTCCAGCCGGACCTGGGCCCCCAGACCAGCGGGTGGCCTCACTTGCCTGTCCTGTGTAGAAGGCCACTCTGCGGTCCGTGTGTCCAGTACTGAAGTCTCCTTGGTCACTGTATGCAGTGGGGGACGCTGCTGGCCACCCAGCTTGGTGCCCCACCTCTAATGTGGGCTGGATTTGGGGCCATGGACCCTGCTCCTGGCCGCTGGGCAGTTCTGACTGGTGTGAGAGGGGACTTGAGTGGAGGCCCAGTTTACCTCACAGGAAGGCCCCAGCCCTGCAGAGCCTGGAACTGCCAGCAACTCCGTCCTGGTGTGGACAGCGCGGGGTGTGGACAGAGCAGATCTGTAGCTCAGAGCCCAGGGCACACTTGTCCCGGTGGGAACAGCCAGCCAGGACGTTGGTCGCTGTCAGCACATGGATCCCGGCCAGCCTGGGTGTTTTCTCGGACACTCACGGGACAGGTTGGGGCTCCACTTGGTGAGTCAAACGACTGTCCCGAGGCTTTGTCGGAAACAGCCGGCTTTATTCCTAAGGTTGCTTGGGCCATGACCGTGGCTGAGTCCGGGCCAGGGCCCTGCTTGCTCCTCCTTAGCCTTCAGCTACAGCCAGCACAGTGCAGGCTCTCTTGCCACATGGCCACATGGGCTCAGGACAGGGCTGCCCAGGCCCCTGCTATCCGCTCCGTGATGAGGCCTCAGGCTGCTGGCCGTCATGGTCATTTGGGGAATTAACCAGTGGATGGAAGATCTCTCTGAAAATCTGCTTTACAAATAAATGCAATTAATCTTTAAGAGACTGAACGTTACCATAATCATTTTCTTCAAAGCAAGCCATTATTCCTTCTTCACTAGTAGCCATTGGGTGACAGCCAGGACTCCAAGGCCAGGGCACATGTGCTTACCTACTGATTAGTAATACATTCCTACCACATTTCTGTTTCCATACTTATCTATCACTTAATAGGAGAAATACATCAAAAGGGCAAAACAAAAAGATCTAAGACCAAAAGTTCCAAACATTAAATCCCCTACAACTGCAGGCTCTACAACCCCATAAACAGGCAATAATTAAAAGCATGTCTCTATGATATTAATAAAAGCACCCTATAATTCCTCTAGTCAAATTATACAAGAGGCTAAAACAGCTACATTTCCTATGCTCTAAAGAGTTGCAAAGACAGGCTAACTTTAGGGTCACAGTGACTATATTTGTTTCTCATAGCAGTTTCAGCTCACACTCCCATCACTTCCATTAGTTCGTAGGGTTCTTATCAAGCCCTTTCCCAAAAGGTGTGCTGCATGTCTGGGCCAGATCCCAGGGCCATGGGCAGGCACACAATAAGGTGTCTAGAAACGGCACGGACTTAACTGTACTCCTGTGCGCAGTTAAAGGCCCATTCACCAGAACATTGTCAATAACATTAACTCTCAAGCACATGTTGGTTGCAAAAACCACCTCACAGGAATAAACAGCAATGCCTGAATGGATTGCAGAATTCCTAGTGGGGTGGCTGAGTGTCCATGCAAAGGGGGTGAAATTGCATTGAGGTGGTTGGAGAGACATCCACCAGGCCTTGCCATACAGCTGGAAGCCCCTCTGGACCCTGCCAACAGCGGAGCTGTTCTCTTCACACCTTTGTGTCATCCACGCCCACTGCATGGACCCCAGCACCCACCCATTCATTCTCTTCCAGAGGTAGTGTGCCCAGTCCTCACCTCTTCTTCCAGCTAGAGCCCAGCCTGACCACAGCCCCAGTCACCTGGGAGCCTGTAAGGACCTTGTTGGGCCACCCAACTCTGGCCCCGGCTCCAGGACCTGAGGAGGCTGGGAACTGAGTTGCAGAGCTCACATACAGCTGCGTAGTGCACACTCCCGAGGCCACAGCACGTGCACGAGGCTGGGCTCGGGTCAGACTTGCTCCTGCCAGCCAGGGCAGGGCCAGGATGAGGTCAGCAGCTAGGAGATGTCTCTAGGTCTCTCATGTGGGTGGCAGGGACCCAGGGTCCGGAGTGTCCCTGCTGTCCTCCAGGTGTGCTGGGTCAGGAATGGATGCTGAAGTCTGCCCATGCCCTCCGCCCTGGGTGTGCTGGTGGAGAGGCATCGAGCCTACGGGATCCTGGGTCAGAGACTGGCCGACCACAGCTCAGTCAACAGGCCAGAATCCTGAGCCATCCCACGCCCTGGTCACCTGGGTCCGAGTGTCCTGGGTGGGTGGACGTCGGCAGCTATCCCGGCTGCTCATGTCCACTCCTGTTCCTCTTTTGTTGGATCATTTGCTTTCTTCTTGAAAGGTCAAGGAGTTAGTCAAGTTTTGCCCAGGACAGTGGCATGGGCCCAGGAGCAGCAGTTGACAGCCGTGTGTGCCAGACACTTGGCAGAGAGGTTGGAGCGGCCCTGCCCCCCCATTGCGGCTCCAACCAGTGAGCTCCTGGGGCATCCCTCCTCCTCCTCCTCCACTTGCCAATCAGGCCAGGGCATTCCCAGCCGTGGGGTGGAGGGAAGCAGTGGAGGAAGGCGGGGCTGGGGAGGGGACTTGGTTGCCCATTTTCACTGACCGTTTTGGGAGATGCTGATCGCTTTTGCTGCCACTTAAAATAGCAGAACTGAGGTGCCACTTGAAGCAGACCCAGGGAACCCTGTGGGGCAGATGTCCTCCCAGCCAAGAGCTGGCTCAAGCCCTCAAGGGACACAGTGTCCAGGCAGATCATGGCTATGTGTGCCAGGACATGGAGCCCAAGGGCCATTGCCCACACCGAGGTGACTCCTGCAGAGGTGGGGGCCTGGTGCTGTCAGGGGTACCAGGGGCCACAGGGCCAGTACGTCCCAGCCCCTACAGTTGCTGGGTTTTGAATAAGCTGCTCTGTCTGAGTGGCTGAGATGGGAGCCAGGTTGAACAGCTCACCAGCAGTGGAGAGCTGGTAGTCCCAGGCTGGCCACGGACATGACGGGCTGGTTAGGGCCCTCCTGGTGCTGCACCCAGAACACACCTTCCCCTAGGCTGGAGGTCATCTGCTCTCTATCCACAGATTCCTGGGTTTTTGGTGCCCTGTCAGTGCCATGGCCCGGGCCAGATGGCATTGCAGGCCAAAAGCTCCCACCTCTCACTGGTCATGGAAGAAACAGTGCCACAGGTGGACACAGAGCTGACCTTTCAACCTCACCAGGCCACGCGGGGACGACCTCTCGCAGCCCCACGTGGCTGTCTCCTGGTCTTAGTGTGGCATTTTCAGACTTAAGGTCCAGCATCCTGGAGCTGGCTCTGTGACTCATGTGGCCCCCCACCCAGGCCCTGGGCATCACCTGGCAAGTCCCTAAGCCCCAGTGCTTGACAATGTTTGTAAAAATTTATTTTTGTTTATTTGAAAGGCAGGCAACAGAGATGTCCCATCTGCTGGCTCATTCCCCAACATGCGCAGTTACTGGGGCTGCAGCAGAAGCCCCTCCTGGCTCTCTCATTGGCCTGCAGGAGCTGGACCAGTGGTGATCACTGTGCCACCGGGATCGGCCAGCATCATTGGCCAGTTCTGCCCACACCAGTGCAAGGGCAAGCTAACTGGCTGCTGATGGGGTTGTCCCGAGGGCAGTGAGGGCTGGCCTCACTTGGGGGGCTCACAGGCTTTGGGGGGTCGGACACTGGTCCTGAAAGACAAGTCAAAAGACTGCTGGTCCCCAAAGCTCTGGGCTCTGTACTTGGCTTTGTGGAGGGGCCTCCTAAGATGCTTGTTTTCCAGTGTCATGCCTATCGGCCCCTTGGGCCCCTGGAGACCATCTTCCTGAGCCGGGCCCCACATCTGCACACCCTGAGCTTCAGCCTCCTGGCCCTGAGCGGCCTCCCAGCTCGCTCCAGAACTGCGGGGCTGCTGTGTTGGCTGTGACCACAGGTCCTGCCTCTGACCTCCTTCTTGTTGCCCTAGGCCTGACTGTGTGTTTCCACCCAGGGACCTTGCCTCTAAGCTGGCCACAAGAGGCTGCTGGACAAAGGGACTCCACACCTGCTGGCCATGGGCCTCCTTCACCTGCTGGCCATGGGCCACCTCCACCTGCCGGCCCTGGGCCCCCTCTACCTGCTGGCCCTGGGCTCCCTTCACCTGCCGGCCCTGGGCCCCTTCCACCTGCTGGCCCTGGGCCCCTTCCACCTGCTGGCCCTGGGCCCCTTCCACCTGCTGGCCCTGGGCCCCTTCCACCTGCTGGCCCTGGGCCTCCTCCGCCTGCCGGCCCTGTGCCTCCTCCACCTGCCGGCCCTGGGGCCCCTCTACCTGCAGGCCCTGGACCTCCTCTACCTGCCGGCCCTGGACCCCCTTGAACTGCT